GGAGGAGGAGGGAAGGGCACTGGGGGGGGGGGGGGGGTTAAACTAACCAGGGGGGGGGGGTCACGTGACCTTGGGGGTCACGTGGCCCTTAATGCCGATGATGTCATCACTGACGTCACTAATGACGTCATCAGTGACGATGACGATGCGGGTACCGATGACGTCATTAGTGACGTCACTGATGACTTCACCAGTGATGACGATGACGATGCGAATGTCGGTGACGTCATCAGTGACGTCGCTGATGACGTCATCAGTGATGATTACGATGACGATGCGGATGTCGGTAACGTCATCAGTGATGATGACGATGACGATGCGGATGCCGGTGACGTCATCAGTGATGATGACGATGACGATGCGGATGCCGGTGACGTCATCAGTGACGATGACGATGACGATGTGGATGCCGGTGACGACATCAGTGACGTCACTGATGACGTCATCAGTGACGATGACGATGCGGATGTCGGTAACGTCATCAGTGATGATGACGATGCGGATTCCGGTGACGTCATCAGTGATGATGACGATGACGATGTGGATGCCGGTGACGTCATCAGTGATGATGACGATGACGATGTGGATGCCGGTGACGTCATCAGTGATGATGACGATGACGATGTGGATGCCGGTGACGTCATCAGTGATGATGACGATGTGGATGCCGGTGACGTCATCAGTCACGATGACGTCATTGGGGGGTCACGCGACATCGGCGGGGGTCACGTGACCTCAGGGGAGTCACATGACTTCGGGGGGTCACGTGACCTCGGGGGGGGGGGTCACGTGCCCCCCACGAGGTCACGTGACCCCGGTGGGGGGCTCGCGCGGTGCATTATGGGACATTTCCCATGATGCACCGGGGTCACGTGACCTCGGGGGGTCACGTGCCCCCCCACGAGGTCACGTGACCCCGGTGGGGGCTCGCGCGGTGCATTATGGGACATTTCCCATGATGCACCGGGGTCACGTGACCTCGGGGGGTCACGTGCCCCACCACGAGGTCACGTGACCCCGGTGGGGGGCTCGCGCGGTGCATTATGGGACATTTCCCATGATGCACCGCGCGGTTACGCCGACGCCGACGCCGACGCCGACGGCGACGGCGACGCCGACGCCGCTCAAGCCGGAAACGGGCCCCTAAGAGCTGCGCTCTAAAAAGCACAGTCCTGCTTTTTCCGTATTCTATGGAAATTGTCAAGATGTTAGCTTTCAAAGCGTCGACATAACTCTAGCCCACGAGCTTCAGTTGGGACCCGTCACTGGGAAGTGCGCAGACGCCTCGAATATTACCACACTGAAGTTGTATATATCTCGTGACTACACATTTGTACAATTTCAAGAAGCGGGCGTGTATTGAAAAATATTGACAGCCTTGGCCATTATATGTCAACGAAAAGGACACTGTTGGATGTATGGTTGCGTAACTTCAGGAAAGTGGCTGTTGAGAAGGAAAAGCCACTGAAAATCTCAGAAAACGTCGGGAGCGCAGCAGTAGAGAATCTTGAACGAGGAACCACCTAGAAAACCCTGAGATCTAAAACGCACTTATTTGTGTGTTTGGGGGGGGGGGGGGGGGCTGTTTGTCAGATACAACCTGGCTTATTGTGTTTGCACCGGTCTACATCACCTTGTTTATATTTGGTAAAGAGGGTTGAAAAATTGTTCAACGGTTTCACTCTTCTTTTTTTACATAGCGTTTTAAAATTTTGTTAGAACAGAATATATCTTAAAAATTAATGTCTAGTCCTTGGCTTATCTTCTGGGAAATTTATTTTCTTTCATTTCGTGTAAATAGAACATCTTACTTCTTGCGATTTCTTACAATTTTAAGCGCAATTTATGATACAGAACTGTATCTTTTTCCGTTATTTATGCCTCGCATTAAAGCCCTTTCATCCTCTATTGACCGTTTCGATTCCCTGTTATACAAAAATAGCTGTTTCAGTTACTTTTGTCAGGTTGCCTTAACAAAAGTTGAACGGTCAACAACTTTTCAACGTCGAACTTTTATTTTGCTTTTAAAGAGTGTTTCGACTTGTGTGACAACTTAAGATCTGCTCATAAAAAAAAGTAACTGTACGATTACCATAGCAGCTCGTTTGCGTTCAGTACCGCACGTCATCATCACTGATAAGAATCGGTGGATGTAGTATCTCCGGCAAATAAATACTGAAATCATTAAGGCTGAATGAAAACCACCTTCTGTCGTGGAGCACTCCTAATTGTCAAATTGTTTGTATTGAGGCCTAGACAGCGAGAAATTAGTTTGCCTTAAAATAAAGTGGGGGCCTCCGTTGTAGCGGGAAATTAATCGATGCAACATGAGTACGCCAGCACGACTACAGCTCGTGCTTTTAATTGCGGTAAAATAATGAGAATATATTCTCAGAGCAGCTCTTAGTTTACGACTGAATTTGTATTCTATCCCCAATTCGTTTAAAAAATGAAGCAGCTTTCAGGTGCTTAAAATTCAACCAAAGTTGTCTCGATTAAATGTCATCACGAGCAGTTATCTTGGATAAGAACAGAGCGAAAAAACGAAAGAACAGTCAAAGAAACTGGGCAGATTAGCGAGTACCTCTGAAGCTTTTGTGCGAGCGCGTATGATAATCTCGATCTGTTTGCTTGCAATTTCTGTGAAGTGGTGCAGTCTGGCAACGTGAGTCAGAAGGAGCGAATAAAAATGAAAATGACTTCCCTGTTATGGATACCTGCCTTGGATACCTTTTCCATTTATCATTTGGAAACCATGTGTCAAAAGGTTCGTTTCATCATCCAAAAATAAGAAAACAATAACGTGAGCTCTTTTGTTATTTTTTCTCTTTTTTTTTGGGGGGGGGGGGGGGGGGAGTTATTTCAATTCCCCCCCCCCCCCCCCCCCTCCGAAACAAAAAACAAAAAACAACCTGCGTACGTCACTGGCTGGAGGTCAGCCGTTCTCACTCTGTCAATAACTATAGTGATTTTCTTTTTTTTTTCAGGTTGTTTACGGCCAACGAGAGCCTCGGAACCCTGGACGGCTGCCCCGGGTGCAATGACCAGGATGGTATGACTCAAGGATGAGCGTTGCCCAGGCATCATCGGCGCCAGTCTTCTCATCTAAACGTCCGTGCTTTTAGTTTAATGGACTGGGAGCATTCGGAGCGGTACGGACACAATACGCTCAAGCAGTAACGTGTCCGGCTGGAAAAAAGAGAACAAAGCCCTACGGTCGCATTTATTTCGACCACATTTGACATGATCCAGATGACAAACTTTTCAAAGACTTTGTCTAGACGCTGCACTGTGATGTACTCGAATGACTATTTGTTGGTCTTGCTTAATAAGCTTGGCCAAAGAGAAAGATGGTCGGCACTAACTTTCAATGGCCACGGCCCCTCGGTGGCAAAAAGGGTAAACACCTCTTGTCACGGAGACAGCATGACCATTGAGGCGCAGTACCGCTCACCTTTTCCCTTGGTTGGAACTGGTTAGAGGAAGAGCAGTTATCAGTGCTTCGGCTTCTGAGGATCTCCAGTGCCAAATAGCGCAACGAGGAAGTTTTTGTTTCCTCGGTCTTGTTAAGATTCCTCGCGTGTATCTTGTATATATTTACTATGCCAATAAATGTTCCAATATGCTAGCAATGACTGTGTTAGCAATGGATATGTTAGCAATCAATAGATACAATCCATCAAACTACGAGTCGGTGTCCCTGACTTGTATGCGCTGCAAACCTCTAAAACGTCTAATTTTTACTCATTTGAATATTCAACATTTAAACACAATAAAACTTGTTTTCACGATGTGGGGCAACGGTTTTAGAAAAAAGTCGCAGCAAGCACTAAGTTGATTGAGCGGGTGAATTATCTGTCAAACATAATCAATAATAGGAATCAAGCAGATTTAATTTTTCTTGACCTGTCAAAAGCATTCAATCACGTATCTCGCCATAAGCTTCTTCCAAAGCTTCCTACTGTTTTTCAGAAGGATCAGTTGGTAAGCTGGATAGTGTCTTACCTGCGAAATACGATGAAATCTTAAGTGCATTTCTATGACGATATGCCGAATCACTGTCGCACTATATTATTACTTTTTATGAGAAATATTTATATTTAGGTTCATTACCCAATCACCGGAAGGTTTCTAAAGTTGTACACGTGTTGATGTCCAGTAAAGCGTCTTCCGTAAACAATTACAGGACAATTTCACTAACATTGACAGGCGGCTAACTACTAGAACATATACTATCGAGTCATATACATTCTTTTGGAAGTGATTATAATTTGCAAAACAGCTACCAGAACGTATATCGTAAAGGGTTGTCGACCGTTACTCAACTATTGGAAGTCGCGCACGATTTTTCTGAGCTCTTAAACCGTAGAGACCAGGTTCACGTTATTTTTCTTGAACAGAAAAATGCAGTCGATAGGGTTAACTAGAGGAGCTTAATACTTAAATTAAAATATATAATAAAAAAGTGAGAAAACATGATTTCGCTTTAAGACAAGGACATAGGAAGAACAGACACCACAGAGCGCTAACTTTCAATTTATTTAATTCCGTGGCCCCGCCACGGACCGCAAGTACGCTAACTCTTTTTCCGCGAAGTCAATTGAAGCCACACTGACACAACACGTGCCGGAACTATTTATGGCGTCCGCCTCCATTATCTCTCTAACAGTCTTATCTTTGTGCCTGGCGAGAACAGTAGAAGAAGCAAATAATGATTTGCACCCGCAGTCATGACTGTGACACAACAGATGGTCCATCCCGAACCCCATTCACTTTCTGGTAGTGTTCTCTTAGCCGGGTCTAAGCCAACTCGTCGAAAGTCAACTCGTCGACGGCCAACCTGTCGGCGGCCCATTCGTCGAATAGGCCAATTCGTCATAGGGCAACTCGTCGAAGGAAAACTCGTCGAAGAGGCCAACTGGTCGCGCTGTTTCAAAGCCGTAAATATAATTTTTGTCCTGAAATTTTAAAGCAAATCTTGCCCTATCCTCTTCACTACCGACCTAAGAAGCAATTGAAAACAACCGATTTTTTTTGCTATTTTTATTAAGCGTCCTCTTAACAATGCATAGAAAAAAAATAGTCAAGAAATTTGATTTATTTTAGCTGAAACAAGTATGTACACAAACGTGGACATAAGTTGTGTTCACGATGGACGGGCCGACCACGAATGTCGGAATCAGTGCCTAGCGTTATGAAACTCGGCGAAGCAGTTTTGCTTCTGAAGGCACAGAAAAATATTGCATTTCATGCACCTCACCCTTGTTCTTCCTTTGCAGTTTTTTTTCCTGCACCGCATTGCATTTTCGAGCTGGCAATATTCTGGGAAGTGATCGAAGTGGTCGCTGCGGGTATCGTTGTTAGGGAGTTGCACAGGCCTTGTTCTGTTGATTGTGGGCTCGTTGCTTGCTCTTTCAGTCCTGCTGTTTTCTGTAGAATTCGCCTTGATCAATGTTTCTGCAATATCTTGCTTGAATTGAAGTAAGGGAAGGATTTCTTTCTTCGGAATGTCCAGTTCTTGGGCGTCCCGCCGGTACTCAATCCAGGCGTTGGACACGGCAAGGTCAAGGAAGTGCGTGAAGAATCGAATGGTCCATTTTCTTGTTTTGATCTTAATTCTGTAGTACGCCACATACCTGTCAGCCAAGTCCACACCGCCCATGCACCTGTTGTAAAGTGAGACAATAGCTGGCTGAGGAACAGTAATTTTCTTTTTTTTCTTCCTTGGACCACCGCTTGCACATACCAATTGGGTCACACCCAACTGCGCTCGACAAGAAAAGAACTCCTTTGTTATCTTTCCATTTCACAAGACAGACTTTTCCGTCCTCGCGTACGAGGCAAGCACTTTCACCACGGTTCATTGACCTGTCACTCGGCAAATTTCCGACTGCTCCTTGTGTGCGGTTAGCGTTCACAGTGCCAGTCAAAAACATTTGCTTCTCAGTTAGGTAGTCCACAATTGACAGTCCTGTGAAAAACCTGTCAGTGAACAGGTGCGCCTTCTGGTCGCTTACGGTTGTTGAAAGGTGCTTCACGACTGCGCCACCCAGGCCATACAACTTCATGTCTTCAGGAGTCACTGTATTTTTGCCGGTGTAAACCAGGAAGTCTAAAACAAGGCCGTCGGGGGAAGCCAAGACAAAATTCTTCAGACCAAGTGGATTTGGCTTAGAAGGAAGGTATTGCCTAAATGCACACCTTCCCGAAAATGGGATGATCTGCTCATCGATTGAGCATTCTTTTGTGCGCGGCAATGAGCGGCAAGCACTTTGAAAGCTGCTAACGATTGGCCGCACAAGGCGTAACCTGTCTTCTTTCTGTTGTGCTGTAACTGCGGAGATGTCCACAAAGTGCAGGTTATTGCGCAGCTCATAGAATCTGTTTCGGGTCATGTGGTCAGCAACAAAAGGTGTGCGTGTTGCTCGTGACCAGTACAGCTGGACTTGAGGAAGGTTCATAATTCCCATCAGTAGGTGTATGCCAGCGAGCTTCCTCACCTCAACTACGTCTGTTCTCACTGACCGGTGATTTCGTTTCTGAACAGAATACAAATTTGTTTGTTCAGCGAGTTCCCTCCAAAAATCCATTGGAAAATATTTGGCGAAATACTGATGTGGGGACAGAAGCTCCCGAAAACCGACGTCTGCTTGACCGTGACTGTCTGTCATGTCAGGGTTTGTGAATCTGGAAAATCAGATATTATGTAGGTTAACCATACGTCAAACTAGAAATATTTTGAAAGAAAGATGCTATGAATAGACGTGCGAGAAAATTTAGTGCAACAAAGTGCAAGAACTCACGTTCCTGGCTTCCAGGAGCTTTTTTTCTGCTTTTTGGGCCGGTTGGCGGTGTCCGGTTCAGGTTCATCTTCATCTTCGGATGTGTCATGACCACTTGCCGATGACGGCAAAGCACGATCATCATCATCATCAGACTCTGAAAGGTTCGCGTCGCTCTCTTCCAACATGGCAGCGATCTCATCATCGGTCAGGAATCTGGCTGCTGAGAACAAGCCAGAAAGAGAAGCGGCGATGTTCACAACCTTTGTCCACAAATGTGACACATTGTAAAAAGATGCGCTTGAAATCAACCGTTGTGCTTTTTGGCCTAGAAATAATTCATGTCGTCTTCGGGAGTTATAAACTTCATTACCAAATGACTCTTTTCCCAAGGAGTGAGAAAAAAGGTACAATAATTGTCAAAACTTACCTCGTGGTCGCTGTCCGACTCTAGAGCTGGATGCCGCCATTTCAACTTTTCATGAAGGCGCTTTGACTGGACAGGTGGCGCCGCCTCTTGGGTATGGTGGCAACTACAACCACCTCTTCTAAACGCGCCAAATTTGAATTCCGCCAAACATCCCTCCTTGAGGTACAGCGCATAAATGTGGATGTTCACGAATGTGTACACCGGTAGCGAAGAGGCTATAGTAATGCGTAATATCGTCGCAAGGTAATAGACTCGCAGTGTGCTCTTTCTTGTGGAAGATAACTTGCAGCCTTCGCCGCTTTCACAGTGCAGTGAGAGACGATCAGGTGGGTTAGCATTTCTTAACAGAATTGCTGGTAACCGGACAAAAGCTCACCGGACAGAAGCTCACCGGACAGAAGCTCACCGGACAAAAGCTCACCCCTTTTTTTGCAGACCCAGACAAAAGCTCACCTCACTTTTTTTTTTCGTTACCCGGGCGAAACACAGGCTGGGATAAAGTGCGGACGCGATGGACATTGCACCATTTTTAGGAGAACCGGCATCCCATCCCATGCAAAGATGTCGACATAACAGGCAGGGAAGCAATAATTTGAGACCAAAATTTAGGTCACTGAAACTGAGTGGAGCTGATAAGATCATCAAACTTGTATATACCTTGTGTCACGGCCAAGAAACTTTGTGAACCGAAGTTTTTGAACCCGAAGAGTGACCGAAGAAGCAATGTCACCCTTTGGCGACCCTCTTTTTCATTGTGTTTTTGTCACGTTAAACGCGCACATAAAGGTTAGGCACAATGACTCTTCATTACTAATGCATGGGTTTTCATGGGGTTTAGGGTAATATTTGAAGGGAATGGCTAGGAAAATTAAATTCGTTCCGTCAATGAGCGTCGTAAATATATTTGAAATCAAGGGTTATCTCAAGGTGCTCTGAAGGGGAAACTGAAGCAAAACTGCAATGTACAAATGATTGAGTTGCGAATTTTTAAAAATATTTTGAAGGAATGGGAGTTGGGCCTTTTGGACAAGTACAAGACGGATGACTAATTTGGAAAAGTGTGCGGGATTTTGGATAGGCTGGCGTTCCGTCCACCACAGCTTGTGCCCGAAGGACTAACCAAGATCAGGAAAAAGTCTACCGGTGACATCGGCGACCTGCTGGACTACTTTGATTGAAAGTATGTCAACGGCCCCTTCCGTTGTGTTCTGCTCCTTCTGCAGCGGCACTCAGAGCGAATTCTTCCCTTTGCCTGACATGTGCGCCAACGACGACCGTAGTTTCCCCCGGAACGGTGGAATACGTACGACGTCACTCGTCAAGGTAAAGACCGGACGAACAACACCTGTGAAGGATGGAATACCGTGTTCCAGAAGTTTGTCGGCCACGCCCGTCCAACCGTCTAGAGGCTGATTGAATGCCTACAGGAAAATCAGGCGATCGTTGCCACGGCATTGACATAAGCCCGGAGAGGTGCGCCCCCAGTGAGGCGGGTGCGAAAAACCACTCTGCGCCTGCAGAATCGACTGAAAAATATTTTCGAGGGGTTCCAGGTACATCGAGATCTACCAAGACTGCTGGAGCTAGTGGAGGACTGCATTCGCTTCGAACCAATCGATAAATGAACTTATTTCTACTCCAATCAACAAACCGTGCGCCTGTCAGACTTAATTCATCGTTGCCTTTTAGTGTCGCACGCATGCACTTAAGTTGTCCGCACTCGTGTTAAGGCCAACATTAAATTTTCTCCTGGTGAGCTTTTGTCGGGGTCTGTGAAAACAGGGGTGAGCTTTTGCCGGGTGAGCTTTTGTCCGGGATTCAAATTGCTAACCCACCTGGCCCATCAGTCACGCCGCTTCGCGGCGACAGTCTGCGACGACTCATTACAAAAAATTATAAAACAAACAAACAAACGGACGATACCGAAATTAACATTTCTCAACTTGCATCAAGGTACTGTCTTCGCCCTCTTGTGATTTTTCTTTCCGTCTTGTAACCTAAGGGCGCTGTCCTTAGTTCAAAGACAAGTAAAAAGTTAAGTAAAAATGTAGCAAGGAACCACGAAATTTTACCTCGAACCGTCATTCATCCCATTCGACGAATCGCCCTTCGACAGATTGCCCCTTTCGACAGATTGCCCTTCGACGGATTGCCCTTTACGGATTGGCTTATTCGACGAATTGACCGTCGACAAGTTGGCCGTCGACGAGTTGGCCGGATTCCCTCTTAGCCGTACATTTTTGCGGGCTTTTCGGGTGCAGAGTAAACAACTTTTACGTTTACACGTATTGCTATTTTTCCAAATGGGCCTGTCAGCTTGCACAAAAATGTGCATGCTGACAGACCCATTCCGCAAGGTACCGACGGGCTGCCTAATCAAGCACAGGAGTCCGTTTGTCGCGTGCACGGAAGGGGTGGTGTATCTGATTCCACTTTCATGTGGCAAGATATATGTCGGCCAGACAGGCAGATGTTTAAATGTACGGCTAAGAGAACACTACCAGAAAGTGAACGGGGTTCGGGATGGCCATCTGTCGTGTCACTGTCATGACTGCGGGTGCAAATCATTATTTGCTTCTTCTACTGTTCTCGCCAGGCAGAAAGATAAGACTGTTAGAGAGATAATGGAGGCGGACGTCATAAATAGTCCCGGCACGTGTTGTGTCAGTGTGGCTTCAATTGACTTGGCGAAAAAAGAGTTAGTGTACTTGCAGTCCATGGCGGGGCCACGGATTGGTTGAGATGTGTTGCGGTGACGCAGTGTGTTTCTACTCTGAGGCTCTTGAATTGAATCAGTTGAAAGTTAGCGCTCTCTGGTGTCTGTTCTTCCTACGTCCTTGTCTTAAAGCGCAATCATGTTTTCTCACGTACAATACCAACTCGCCTAACATTCAAACATTCAGCACTTGTCAATATAATAAAAAAAGACGTCCTAATCAGGTAGAAAGAAATGTTTCCCTACGAAAAATGGCAATTTGAAGAAATTAAGGGCAGACACCCAAATATGTGCGACGTCAAATCAGATTTCCGTCATGCCACGATATCCGGACCGCTATTTTTCCTACTGTTTATTAATGACATACTTTGGAATGTATCTGTCAAGGCAAAACTCATTGCTGTTGACTGCATTTTGTATACTCAAGCTAAAAGTCCCGCTGATCATTTTAATTTAAATACATATATTTAGCCCACATTGGGGGGAGTGGTGCAATATATCACAAATGTCACCTGATCTCGAGAAAAACCTCTCCACGAGTATTACTCGCAAAACTAAGCTGACTGAATTCGATTACAGACTTGACAGACAGGCGATAACAGGTGTTACCAAATATAAAAGTCTGGGAGTAACCAGCTCGCGTGGTCTGTGTTGGGGAAGGCATATTGTCACGAATGACAATTGATGAGGCGACGAATGAATAAAGAAAACTAAACGTTTATTGGGGCGAACTTGTGGCCAATACAAAATAGAAAAAGGCTAGCGTCGCAGGCGTCGATGGCGGCGTAGCAGCAGGATGGAGCGCTGGGGCGAGACTGACCCCGTACGGCGCGGCTTCTTTTGAGCCATCCCTGGGAGCCTAGAACATTCTGCATCGATCCTTGAACGTTTTGAACATGAACAAGCTAGACGGTTCTACAGACATCTCGAATCGTTTATGTTATATAGGGTTATATATAGGGTTCTGCGTTTTCGGTTTCTATTTTTTCAAAATTCGGCGTACTTTTTTCGGTGTTTATTTTAAAATTCAATTTTCGGTTTTTTTCGGCGTATATTTATGCCCGCAAAAATTAATCGGCTTTTTTCGGTGAATATAAAATAAACACCAACGGACACCGGATCAGATGATCCTTGTACGTAGCTCTGATATTTGTGATCACTCAAAGAATAACGGAACAGATACGTTGAAAAAGAAATGGACACTTCATTTGGCAAATGTGTGCAACGGTAGAAGAAACAAGAAAAAAACGCAGAAGTACAAACAAGTCAGATATGAAGCCTACGCCCCAAAAACATGCAACCTCACCTTCTGTACATCAGGAATACGTGATCTCATTATAGTACACACAAACATGTACTTCCCCAGGTTCTCCTTCTTGATCCGCACTATTTCTTTCCTGTTAATATATGACCCTGAGCTTCGAGAACGCCCTCTCAACGCTAGCACTGGACGCTGGCAGGCTGAGGAGATGACGCGCTGCCTGAGCCAAAATCGCCGAAAGAGACACGGTGCGACGTTTTGAAGCACAATACAACATGCAGAGCTTGCATCCAGTCAGTCTTCCTCACAACGAGTTTGAAAACACGCTCGCCACGGCTCTGCGGTACGACTGGACGGTCAAAGTGACATTTTCCGGTTAAAACTGAATTTAAAAAAATGGATTCGACGAAATTTTATCGGTTTTTATCGGTTTAAATCGAAACTGCCGAACCTAAAAACTGACCTTTTCCGGTTAAAACCGAATTTCCAAAAATGGATTCGGCGTACTTTTATCGGTTTTTATCGGTTTAAACCGAAAACTCCGAACCCTAGTTATATAGTTATATAAAGAAAGAAAAAAATGAAAGCCGTTTACAACTCTCCGTAACGCCGAATTAGAGCGCAGCTCTTGAGGAGGAGGAGGGAAGGGAACTGAAATTCATGTGTTATCGGGGGGGGGGGAGGGGTGGTCACGTGACCTTGGAGGGGTCACATGACCCCCTCGCCAAGGTCACATGGCCTGGGGTTCACGTGACCACGGGGGTCACGTGACCTCAGGGGGTCACCTGACCTCAAAAGAAAATTTTCCGCTAGATTTAGCGGGAAATTTTCCCGCTAGATTTAGCGGGAGATTTTTCCGCTGGATTTAGCGGGGAAATATTTTCGCTAGATTTAGCGGGGAAATGTTTCCGTTAGATTTAGCGGGGAAATTTTTCCGATGGATTTAGCGGGGAAATTTTTCCGCTAGATTTAGCGGAGAAATTATTCCGCTAGATTTAGTGGGGAAATTTTTCTGCTAGATTTAGCGAGGAAATTATTTCGCTAGATTTAGCGGGGAAAATTT